AAAAAAAAAAAAAAAAAAAAAAAAAAAAAAAAAAAAAAAAAAAAAAAAAAAAAAAAAAAAAAAAAAAAAAAAAAAAAAAAAAAAAAAAGGAGAGATGTGAAGAAGAAAAGCCAGAGGGGAAACAATAGGCCTAGGAAAGTCCTCCCATTTACCCTACCCGAGACCATGATGACCAGAACCTTTTGCCCACTGAGCTCGTGCAGGGTACCAGGTCGGCACCGCACTTGACACTGGAAAGCGGCTTGAATGGGCTGCACACGGTCATGTGCCTCCTTCTTATTCAATCAACTGTTGCCAGGGGAGGCAACGTTAGCTGGTGCGAAAAAACATGGCTGCCTAGGGAGGCCTTTTCAACTTGGGCCTTGGTTGAGCCAGGCAAAGCAATGAGGCATAGTAGACCCATTTTCAAGAAGGAACTCAGGATCTTCCCCAAAGCCCGGGCCTCTTCTCGTTGTTCTAGATCTCAGAGTATAGCACCTCCCTCCACCCCATTGCTCGCATCAATAACCTGGAAAGCAGCATGGCCCAATGGCTGTGCCCATGGACTTTGGCATCAGACACATCTATGTTCAGATCCCAGCCATGTGCCTCTCCAGCTGTGTGACTCCAGGCAGGTGACAAAACCTAGTTTCCTCCTCCGTCAACTGAGAATAACAATAGCACCTTCCTCCAAAGTACTCACTTCGTAAGAACTACTGATTGTGGGAAATATCAAGTGCCTTGCTCCACACCTTGCACCTAGTAATGCTCAATGAGTGATTCACAATACCTATGTTGTCTAATCTTCATGACTGCCAGCTCCGCACTGACTAGCTGTGCAATCTTGGATGAGCTACTTAGCACTGAAGCTAAGCAACTCATCTGTAAAATGGGATAATAGTTTTCCAGCTGAATGTCTTCCTCTGGCCCTTTCGGCTACCCCCTCCACCTTTCTCACCCTCCTGTCTGCCTGGGGGGCTGACTTGCATGAACTATATCAATGGGCTCCTGTGCCCATCAGCTTCCAGTTGGGTTCAGCCAATGGGAAGCCCAAGAGGAGAGGGAGGCAGAGGTATTTATGCCCCCAGCGTATTAGTCTCCTATGGCTACTGTGACAAATTCCTACAAACTTAGCGGTTTAAAGCAACATTAATTTATTATCTTATCATTCTGGAGGTCAGGAATCCAAAATGGGTTTTACTGGGCCAAAATGAAGGTATTGGCAGGGCTGTGTTCTTCCTCCGTTTTCCGAGACAGTAATGGCAGGTTGAGCATTCTCTCCCCACTCCCCCACTCTTCTCTCTCTCTCTCTCTGATCTCTGCCTTCATTGTCACATCTCCTGATTCTCGCCCTCCTGCCTTCCTCTTATAAGGACCCTGCAATGACACTGGCCCTAGTAAAGTAATCTAAGCTCATCTCCCATTCTTAATCACATCAGCAAAGTCTCTTTTGCTACGTAAGATAATATTCACAGGTTCCAGGGATTAAGGTGTGGACAGCATACTCACCTCAGCAGCACATATGGGAAAATTGGAATGATACAAAGATTATCATAGCCCCTGTGCAAGGACGACGCATAAATTCATGAAGCATCCTATATATTGTTTCAACTAAAAAACAAAAAATAGAGCCAAGTGTGGTGGCTCAGTGGCTCAAGCCGGTAGTCCCAATACTTTGGGAGGCTGAGGCAGGAAGATCACTTCAGGCCAGGAGTTTGAGACCAGCCTGGGCAAGACCAGCCTGCTGGCGAGACCCTGTCTCTACTAAAAATTTTAAAAATTAGCTGGGTGTGATAACACATGCCTGGGGTCCCAGCTATTTGGGAGGCCAAGGTGGGAGGACCGCTTGAGGCCAGGAGCTTCAGGCTGCAGTGAGCCATGATTGTGCCACTGTACTCCAGCCTGGGCAACAGAGTGAGACTCTGTCTCAAAAAAAAAAAATTACATTTAAATTTTTAAAAATGTAAATAAAAATGCTTTTCTAAAAGATGTGGACATTTTTGGGGTGGGGGGAGCATTATGTTTCCTGCCACACCTGGTTTCCTCCCTCGCAAGTTACCAGGGGTCAGTGCTGTTCCTAGCACTTCACACTCAGTGACTCATAGGATCTCTACAACATCTCGGGGAAGCGGACCCTGTTACTCCTACCATCCCCTTTCTCAGATGCAGAAAATAAGTCTGAATACACAGTTCCCTGTCGCAGGCAGCTCCTCCAGACAGCTTTCTATCCAGGTCTGCTAACTCTGCCCTCCCCACGCCCTTCTGGACGAGACCACCCCTTGTTGGTTTCCCTAAACCCTGCCCGCACTTTGTAAATAGCACAGGTATTAAACTCTTCAATTACCTGATTTTAGTATGCCAGGACCCTACTCACTCTACAGTGAGATTTCCCTCATGGCGTGAACGGAGTTTATGAATATTCAGGGCTAGTGTGGCTCATAGTAAGTGCTCAGTACATGTTGGCTACCAGGGTGATGCTTTTAAATCACTACTATTCCCATCTTTCCTCCTCCTGCCGCTACCACCACCCTACCCTTCCAGATATACACACTTATTCCCATTTTACAGACAAAGACATTGAGACTCAGAGACCCCTCGGTTAGACGCTTGTCAGAACCAGGATTTGAACTCAGGTCTGCCTTATGCCAAGCCCTAGGGCTTCTCCCAGCTGTCTGACCTCTGAGAATCCTAGCCAGGTGATTGTTTTCATACGCTTTGTGTGATCCTATACTGGCTTGATGTTTTAGGGCTGGGGGGAAGCTTCTGGTTGGCCACCTCCTTGAAACATCTGCTCAGGCCTCTCTCCCTTGTTAGATAATGACAGATCTGGCTAGTGAAGGTCTGAGAGCTACACTCTTGGCTTCCTGGGGACCACATATGTTGACCAGGAATAGCTTGCAGCCATCAAGGTGGACCAACTCCTGCAAAGGGGCACAGGCCACAGCCACCTGAGGTACAAGGCACATCACCCTCACTTAAGCAATGACACCCCTCCCTGCGCCCAGCTAGAGCCTGTCTGACCACAGGAACCCAGGATGGGGGGGAGCTTGGACTGATGCCAGCATTGAGAAGTGGCAATGTCTTCCACCTTTCCTTAGCACCTGTGGGCTGCTGGCATCTTGTTGTCTCTCCACAGCCCGCCAGGTCAGACAGAGGAACAGGACAGGCAGAGCCCACAGAGTGGCATGTGCTAAGTGATACTTGAGAACAGACTGTCAACAAGGGATCATTTTTCTGCCTGTTCTAGTGGGACCAGGAGTAACAACTGTAATAGCAAACCCTTAGAGGCCGCTTAACTGTGTACTGACCACTGTCCAAAGTACTTTACGTGTACAGACTCATTGAACCCCACATCCCTGTGATGGTCCTGTTATTATTACCATCTCATTTTCACAGATGTAGAAAATACAGCACAGAGAGGTTCAGTGACTTGCCCAAGGCTACACAGCTAGAGTTGAAGAGCAAAGTCAGACCACCAGGCAGTCAGGCCTCAGAGTCTGAGCTCTTAGTCTCTCTGCTGTGGTCAGAACAGAGGCACTGTCCACTTACTGAAGGAGTGGGGCGTCATACAGATTCACTTCTGTAAGGAGACTCAGAGCTGAGAATGCAAAGTTAGACCAAGGCCACCTAGGGGCCTCCCTGGCTCTCACTACAGCTCATGCTCTGTGGTCTGCAGTATCCACCGCATGTGCACCCTCCTCTTACAATTCCCCAGTTCCGCTCCAGGGAGAAAGTCTGATTGGCCCAGGTCGTTTTTTGTACCAGCTATTTCATAGGTCAGCACCTGGCCAATGAATGGGCTGTGCGGGGTCATGTGCCTACTCCTTATCCAATCAGCTCTTGCCAATGGGAGGCCGTGTCAGCTGGTGTGAAAAAAACGTGGCTGCCTAAGGGGGCTCTTTCAGTTGGAGCCTGGGTTGAGCCAGGCAAAACAATGAGGCATAGTAGACCCATTTTCAAGAAGGAGCTCAGGATCTTCCCCAAAGCCTGGGCCTCTTCTCATTGTTCTAGATCTCAGAGTGTAGCACCACCCCTTTGCTCACATCAACAACCTGGAAAGGACCTTTGACTCTTCCTCTTTCTTCCTTGCTTCTTCCAGTCAGTAACCAAGTTCTGTTCATTTTGCCTCCTAAATGACGTGGGAGCCCATCCTTCTTCAGTATCTCCACTGCCACCACCCTAGTGCTCGCCACCATGAGACCAAAGTAGTCTCCCTCTATCTGTCCACTCCAGCCCCCTCCACCTCATTCTTATCCCTGCAAGGAGCAGGATTCTAAAAGAACATTAATCTGATTGTCCTCTCCTATCACTTCCCCTCACCTCCACCCAACTTAAGCCCTCTAGGGGCTGCCCTTGTGCTCAGGACAAAGACCAAGCTCCACAGGCAGGCTACAAAGCCTACCCAGCCGGCCCCTGCCCCTGCCACCGGCATCACCCCCTGCTACTAGCATCACGCCCTACCACTAGCATAACTCCCTGCCACCGGCATCACCCCCTGCCACTCCTTGGCTCACCTGTTTCTTCCCTCTGCCCTCTCCCCCACCCCACCCCCCGTCTCCGCCTCTTACGCATGCCCGTCAGACCCCCAGAGATGCTCCTCCTCCAATGGATCCTTGAGGCTTCACTTCAACAGTCTCTTCTAGCTCCCCTTAAGTCCAGTTCTTTCATAGCATTTCTGATTACCGTGTGTGTGTGTGTGTGTGTGTTTGAGACAAGGTCTTGCTCTGTTCTGATTAACGTGTGTGTGTGTGTGTGTGTGTGTGTGTGTGTGTGTGTGTGTTTGAGACAAGGTCTTGCTCTGTTCTGATTAATGTGTGTGTGTGTGTGTGTGTGTGTGTGTATGTTTGAGATAAGGTCTTGCTCTGTTGCCCAGGCTGGAGTGCAGAGATGCAACCCTAGTTCACTGCAGCCTCGACCTCCCAGCTCAAGCGATCCCCCCAGCTCAGCCTCCTGAGTAGCTCAGTGCACCACCATGTCTGGCTAATTTTTTTATTCTTCTTAGGGATGGAGCCTCACTTTGTTGCCCAGGCTAAATCACTCCTGGACTCAAGTGATTTTCCTGCTTCAACCTCCCAAAGTACTTGTGTGATTATTACATTTGTTCCTGTCTCCTCACTGTCTGGAAGGTCTGTTTGCCCACCAGTGTATCTGTGAGACCTGGCCCAGCGTTGGGCACTGGGCAGAGCTCAATAAATGATGAGTAAGTGAAATGGCAGAGAAACTGAAGTTAGCTCAATCCTGCCCTGTGCCTTCTGGTTTATTTTCAGCAGACAAAAATAAAACAGGAAAGCTGGGCATGGTGGCTCACGCCTGTAATCCCAGCACTTTGGGAGGCCAAGGCTGGCAGATTGATTGCTTGAGCTCACGAGTTCAAGAACAGGCAGGGCACCACGGTGAAACCCCATCTCAACAAAAAATACAAAAAAAAAAAAAAATTGGCTGGCCATGTTTTACATGACTGTAGTCGCAGCTACTGAGGAAGCTGAGGGGAGAGGATTGCTTGAGCCTGGGAGGCAGAGGTTGCAATGAGCTGAGATTGCGCCACTGCACTCCAGCCTGGGCAATAGAGCCAGCCTCACAGTATTCTTTGAGGTAGGTACTGGTTATTCTTATTGATGGATGAGGAGATGAAGGTTAAGAGATCAGATAGTTCTTTTTTTTTTTTTTTTTTTTTTGGACGGGGTTTTGCTTTTGTCCCCCAAGCCTGGAGTGCAATGGCGTGACCTCAGCTCATTGCAACCTCTGATTCTCAGGTTCAAGTGATTCTCCTGCCTCAGCCTCCTGAGTTGCTGGGATTACAGGCACACACTACCACACCCGGGTAATTTTTTGTATTTTTAGTAGAGACGGGATTTCACCATGTTGGCCAGACTGGTCTTGAACTCCTGACCTCAAGTCATCCACCTGCCTCTGCCTCCCAAAGTGCTGGGATTATAGGCATGAGCCACTGCTCCCGGCTGAGATCAGGTAGCTCTTATAGTCATGCAACTGCTCTGTGGTGGGGTCAGGATGACAGCACAGGTCTTTACAACTTCAAGACCCCAGCTCTGCCTCAAAGGAATGGGTTTGGGACAAGGTAAGGAAGGCAGGCATTTGATGCTGACTTATCACCTGGTGCTTCTGGCTTCTGTCTAGATTCTTTCTCATAGTCCACCTCTTCCAAGGCTCTCAGTATCCCTGAGATAGAATTCACTGTCACCTCTTTCTGGATGAAAAACTATTAATTTCCCATAGTTGCAGTAGCAAATTACCACAAACTTGGTGGCTGGAAACAACAGAAATCTGTTCTCTCACAGTTCTGGAATCCAAAATCGGTGTCACTGAGCCAAAATCAAGGTGTCAGCGGGGCTGCACTCCCTCCGGAGGCTCAAGGAGAGAATCTGATCCTTGTCTCTTTGGGCTTCTGATGGCTCCTGGTGTCCTTAGTTGTGGCTGCATCACTCCAGTCTCTGCCCCCATGGCCACATGGTCTTCTCCTCTTCTGTGAATGATGTCTCCCTCTGCCTCTTCCTGTAAGGATACCTGTGACAGTGCTTTCAGCCCAGCTAGATAAGGCAGGGAAAGCTCCCCATGCCGGGATCTTGATCACATCTGCAAAGACGTGA